GGAACGAACATGGGAAGACGTTAGGAAACCTGACTACCTGCTTGAGAAAATCTAAACACGCTGTGTATGGGGGTGGCAGTCAATTACAGGCTTTCTGATGAAAAGTGGTTGGAAGCCTCTCATCTTTCCCAACCTCCGCATTTTGCCAGAGGACCACAGCAGAGGGTTGGGGGGGACACCTATCCAAGGACACCTAGTGACTTAGGAGAAATAGGACTTGATTAAGATCTCCAGCCACCAATACCTGGCCGGGCCAGGGCAAGGGACTTGGCCATCTCCTGCCTGTGGCTGCCTGAGGTTTGGCCACAGCCTCCTGTTTTATAAACCCAAATCGCTGCGCCCTTTGTCTCAGTGTGAGGGTTTTAGGGTGGAGGGCACTGCCCACTGGAGCCTGGCAGGGGTGGGCCATCCGTCCCCCAAGGGTCATGGGGGTCAAGGATCCCAGGCGTCCTGGGTGGAGCCCTCAGCCTTGACTGGGGCTCAGCTGGCTCCTGGTCACTGGGGCGGGAGAACCTGGGGGCTGCTGAGGTAAGCTCTGCTGAAAAGCCAACAAAAGGGCCTCCCTCCTACACCCTGGGGCCGTGAGTCACCAGGCCCTTGGGGAGTGCCAACATCATCATGACACAGCAAGTATCTTATCGGTCCAGGGGGGAAGTTGGCCCAGAAATGTCCAGAGAGGGAGGGTCTGGAGCTGCTGGGTCCCTCATCCCTCGCACAGGCCCATCAATGGTTCTTTCCGGTGGGGAGGATGCTCTTCCAGGCACAAGGTTCCTTCCCCCATGCTGGTCTATAAGGCCAGAGCTTTCTGGAGCAGGACAGTAAGTACCTCCACTCCCTTTCTGGTGGGGGTGGGAGTGCTGAGAAGGGGAAGTGGCCACACAACAGGGGAACAGTAAGTGGGTTAAAGCCCATTGGGTAAGTCCGTGAGCAAGCATCAGGACACCCCAGGAAGGGAACTGGGTGTGTGGGTGAGGTTTGGGTAAGCCAGCAAGGAGGAAGGGCAGAGGATGGCCACATGGGCCCAGTGTGCCCCAGGGTGTCTTGCTCGCCTGGCTCTGGGCCTGCCAACCACTGGCTCCCTTTCAGGTTCTAGGTCATGTTGAGCTCATGCCCAACTTGGGGCTTTGGCCATTTGCTCTTTCTTTTTCATGGGATGCTCCCTGGCCCTCACCTGCAGGCCTTGCTCTCTAGGCCCTCCTCGTGGGACCTATGTGCTGTGGGGGACTAGGGACACAAGGGCCCATATGTGTGTTCTGTCGCATGTGCCACTCTTTTTTTTTTTTTTTCCCCCTTTTTTTGTCTTTTTTCATGACCGGCAACGGATCGCAACCCTCAGTGTCGCGCCCGTACCGGACCGGGACCGGCAACGGGATCACAACCCTCGGCGTTGCTCCCGCACCTCACTCAGCCAGTGAGCGGCCGGTCTGTACGTGGGATCTGAACCCTCAGCGGGAGCGCCACCGCGCTCCCAAGCGGTGCACTGCAGCAGTGCGCCACCGGGCCGGCCCCGCATGTGCCACTCTTGTTAGTCTGTTTACTCACCTTGGGTCCCTGGGCCCCCACAGCACACAGGTCCCACAAAGAGGCCAGGGATTGTGGTTGCTGTGGTCTGGAAGAGGCACTTGATCACAATGTGATGTGCTGTGTTGAATGAATGAATGTAGAACTTGCAGAATTCCTAAGCAGTGGGTTCTTGAAGAATGTGACCCCAACACCACCCTGCCTGTCTTCTGCATGGAGTGAGGCATTGGGCATGGAAGGAGGCCTGAGAGTGGGAGCTGTTTTAGGTGCTGCTTGGGTACAGGGCCCAGCCACCCTGCTCTAGTCTCCTCCAGCAGGAAGAGGGAGAAACAAACAAGGCTCTTCAAAGGACCCCTTGTCCTCCCTCATACCCTCCTGCTGGAGCTGGCACTTCCCATTTCTGCTCTGGAAGCCTTTGGTTGTCACTCTGAGAGCAGAGGAGAGCAAAGGGGAACTCTACTGATTACAGTGAAACAAAGTTGCCCAACCCAGAACCAGCCACAGGCAAGGGCGGGGAAGTCACACAATCAGCTTGGGAAAGCCTGAGGACCCCTAGCACTTGTTTCAAAAGCCCTTGTTAGCTATGTGGAAACACTGAGGTTCAGAGGAAGGAAGACAGTTGCTGCCAGTTATGCACCAATCTTGGAGGCTATCAATGAGGGGTCTAAGGGTTGGGAGCCTGGAGTTGAGTGACCTGGGTCAGTTCTGTCGGAACATCCTTGTGGTGGTATGAGGTAGGGATGGGAAAAGGAGGAGATACCATCCTCAGTTACTTTCCCCTCTGATCTGCTTCTTGGACTACGGGCCTAATGGTCAGAGTCCCAGGTGTTAAGGTTTGTGGTCAACACAGGTATGGCTCCTCTAAGGGGACCAGGCTGGGGCCAGGACTGAGGCCTAGCCTGCCCCACTGTATGCTCCAACTGGGTACCTCCCCTGGGTCTTAGGGTTACAGGCAGTAGAAGACAGCGTGTGGGGTGGCCATTGCTCGCCTTCTCACTCCTTTTGGCTCTCCTTCTCGAAGGTCTGATTAGAAATACAAAGATGGAACTGGCCCGTGGCTCACTTGGGAGAGTGTCGTGCTGACAACACCAAGGCTGTGGGTTCGGATTCCTATATAGAGATGGCCGGTTAGCTCACTTGGGAGAGCGTGGTGCTGACCACACCAACTCAAGGGTTAAGATCCCCTTACTGGTCATCTTTAAAAAAAAAAAAAAATACAAAGGTGGCAGGGAGCAGGTTTGGCAAAGGATGGTGGCACTTTGTTCCACATGAACAAAGCAGCACTGAGTTCCTCCAGCACTGAGTGGCCCACAACATGGACGGTGTGGGGCCAATGCTTATCCTGTCAAGGACTAACCTGTTTTGATAGAACTCTTTCTTGTTCAAGATTACACAGGTTAATAGCAAAGACGCTTATATGATGGTGAGCTGATTCTTGGGCACGTCCAGGGTTAAAAGTGAAAAACTGAGGGCCGGCCCGGTGGCGCACTAGAGAGTGCGCCGCTTGGGAGCGCGGCGGCGCTCCTGCC